GGTTAGGCTCTTTGAGTGTGTGTATTTTTTCTCGTCTTTGTGTTTCTATGTGATTATATGATTTTTCGTTTTGCTTTTGTTTTTGTTGTTTATATTTATTATTTGTTTAGACACACGTTAGATTTTGATATCATTCTCAGGTTGTTTGTTATAGTAGTAGTAGTAGTACACATACATATATATATATTTTATATTATCAATTAATTAAATAGGTAGGCTTCGCTCCCCATCGAGAACGCGTTCTCAACACAAATTCACTTAAACAAATGCCCAGCATTCGAGTGTTTTGATAACAAAGTCTTCTTGTGGCGCCAACGGCTCATTGCCGTATGTGCTGCAATGCTGCGATCGGCCTTGGTTCAGATCTCCGTCCAGCCAGAGCCCAAAGCGTCCACTGTAAGTTAGAGAGAGAGAGAGAGAACAAAAGAGAATGTCATAATTAGTAAACACTAGCATGCATAATTATATGTGTGTGAGTGCATAGACAACATATACTTCAAAGCAGCGTTCTGATCGTTTTTTGCACTTAAGCCGACGCACAAACGAAGCCCGAAGTGGCGCTTGCTTCTGCTGTTTGCACGAAAAAGTCAGTCGCTTTGCTATGCAGCAGATAAGTTATAAATAAGATTGAATACGTAAGTTCTCTTTGCGCTTTGCTCCATTGATGTATGTTTGTATGTATATTTATTCGCTGCATAGCCGTTCGCTGCTTCTCTTAGTATTTACCCAGCAGAGATTAAGAGAGTGGGCAAGAACGAAACTTATTTGTACTATTTTAAGTTCTTGAAGTCGTAAGTTGCTCTCTCCACTGCGGCTCTTCGTGATGTTTATATTGCCTTTGTGGTTGTGAGTGAGTGTGTGTGTGAGTGTACTTACTCGCCAGCGCCAATTGATAGGCTCTCCATGTTGCCCTTGATGAAGTACATATTCTCGCCAGTCCAATGGAATACTTTGAAGCTGGGATTAAATTTGTAAAGCAGGGATTCGCCGGTGCCATAGAAATGATCGGACACATGCAGCGAGCAAGAGGTCAGAGCACCAAATACCTAAAAAAATATCAATTATTATTTTATAAGTTTTAGTTAAGCGAGAGTTAATTTTTACTCACATTGTGCTCCGTGTCCTCTATGACAATTAAAACAGGACTCTCCAGTCGCGCCATCTTGCGGTACAGCGAATTGAGTGCGAAACCATGCTGGGATGTGCTAAAGATCAGGGACCAGGAATAGCCCTCAGCGCGCGCCGGCAAATGGGCGCACAGTTTCTCACTAAAGTAAAAGAGATCGATATGTCGATAAATCGATTTTAAGACTTAACTTTAATTTATTCACACTTACCGATGCTCCTCTGTGAGTATTTCTGTTTTGCCAATTAGATCTGGTATAGGGAAGTCCAGGTCAAAGGAACCAGTTGCAAAGAGTGAGGTCTTGCGATATTCATCTGTGCTCATAGACAGCACCTGAAGAACGATCGAATTGTCAGAGATTAGCATAAGGATCGTTTTATACAGTACTCAAACAAAAACTAATACAAAAACAAAATACATTGAAATCAGTAAAAAACAAGGCTAAAACAGTCCAAAAACTGGGCTGATTTTCCAAAATTAATTACATATTCATTAAGTTTCTTTTTTTTTAAATATTGGATAGGGTGTAGCATAACTTGAAAATTCTGGTGCAGTAACTAATTAAGAAATTGTTTTTTGTCAGTGGTTCGTTGACTGGATCTGAGTTTGTTATATATATATATATATATTGATATCTTTTGTAGAATATGCTAAATATGTGGGTTTGTCATCAAGGCTCAGCTTGGTATTTGTTATTGTGTTCTAATTTTCAATATTTGTAAACTACAAACGAAAATGCAGCAATAAAAATGATCAAATAATAAAAACACTTAGGGAAAACGATGCAAATTTGATGTTTATTTTACAGATGAAATTTGGCAACAGCTGAGCGTATAATTTCCGATGAAGTTTGGCAACAGCGCGCACAAATTCCCCATTTAGTTTCTACCAAGACAACAGAAGCAACTGTACTATTCAAAATGATTTCGTCTTTATTGTCCACGATTGAAATTCGGCCAAAAGAGTACATACGGTACATATACATTTGGCAACAGGTGAACGTATGAGGTGCATTTAAACCCGGCAACAGTGTACAAAAACTGTCTTTACCAAAGCAAGCAGTATCTTCATTTTTATCTGGCAACAGAGAAGATTTTCATTACAATTATGCATTTATGGTATCATATAAACAATCTAATTTGACAGTAATTCAAATTTTGCACTATTTCATTTTTCGCCTAAACATAAAGAAATTTGATACGTTATAAAACCTAGAGACAATTTTGGGGACATTAGTCTTCGTTGTATGTTGTCTATAATTAATTTGCAAGAAATTTTGGCAATTTGTCGAATTGGGAGCGGATTTTTCAAACACCAGGCTGCTGTAGCTGAATGCCCATTCTGCCATTGGCCTTTAGATTTTTCGATTAAATTTCAAGTAATTAAGAAAAGCTCCTCCCGCTCCCCTCCCGTTTTCATTTTCATTATCATTTTCAATTTCGTTCTCATTTTCATTTTGATCCGTTTTTGATTATGACGATTTATACGTGCATGCGCTGCTGTGAGAAGGTGTGGCTGCCATAAGCATCGCGCCTATCGACGGCAATGCCCAAGCGACGAACAGCCGACTCCTTGGTATATTCGCTTGGCATTCGAACATCATTCTGCAAGCAGCTCGTATAGTTTTCATCGGATTTCTGGGGTTCACGCATCTCACCCATTCGCAAGGGACCTCGCGGCATCTCGCATACCTGCCGCAAGTGCTGCTCATAGTTGGCATGAGTTGGCCTGCTCAAGTTTGGGTTACTATTGTTATTAAATCTCACTGTACTCGATCTCTGGGGCACGTCCGCTTTGCTACTCTTGACCGGAGTTTGGCCCAGCTTCTTGAAGAGTTTCTTGTGCGATCTTACCTTGGGTACAGCACGCTTCACTCGTGTTGTACTCGACACTGACGCTCCCACCGGCATGCCAAATGACCTGGCCGTCAGCGGCCGGGTCTCGGGCACACTCTGGCTGTTGGAGGGGAGCGACGGCTCTGAGGCACTTGTTGTAACAACCTGCCCCTTTGGCGGCAGAGGCTTCACGGCATTCTTGTCAATCAGCAGGCGGTTGGTTTTGCCGCGTGCTTCGCTGTCAGGATAACCTTCGAAACGCTTGTTAAAGACGCGCTGCGAGGCACTCATCAAATTACCTGCCATCTTCGTCTGATAATGTTCATCATCCATCCTTTTGATAAAAGCGGACGGCTCCTGGCATTCCTGTTCCCGTTCGTTTTTATTCGCGATGTCATGGATAGCATTGTGATCCATTGTTGACAGCGCTGACTCCGAAGGCAGTGAATTGTGGTATTGAAGCTTGCGGTACTTGTTGGAGCGCATCTTGTTAGAGCTAGCGTAAAGTTCGCCCAACTTAGATTTCAGCCGACGACTTCTCAGAATGCTTTCCTCCTGTAGCTGCTCCGGCTCCACTTCCTGTTCCTTTTCACTTTGAGTGCGTTGAGTCGATATGTAGTCATCATCTACTGTACGTTTAGCCGGCTTCATGGTGCGTGGATGGTTCCAGCCCTCGAGCGGATTGAAGCGTAGCGGATGATTCTGTTGATAGGCTTGCTGATGATGAAGCTTCAGCTGCATATGCTGTTGCTGCAGTTGCTGCTGCTTCTGCAACTTCTCGTTCTGTTCTACCCTCTGATCGCAGTTAGTTAGAAACCCGGGCTTGACGCGGGCACAGCTGATGAGCCGCTTCGTATTAATGTCAACTTCCATCAGCTCAGATTGTATGGAACGGCTGATATCCTTGGCCAGCTGACCATTGCGTCTCTCCTGCATGCTCCCTATCTGATTATAGCGCTGCTGCGTCACAGATTTAATCGTTACGGCCGCCATACGACGACGCTGCAACTGCCTCAGCTGCTTCGATATGGGCTGAAGCATATTGCTGTTGCTGGCCAGGCTGCTCATCGAGGAGAAGAGCCGCGTCTGGCCATAGATTTGGTACCTTGAGTTGTTGCCCTTCTGTGACATGAGAGCACCCTTCGACAGCAGGCGTGGCTTCAACTTTTGTACCATACCCTGCATCTGATTGATCAAAGTCTTCTTTACGCCAATGACCTTACTCAACTGACCACCGTATGTTGGCTTATGCGTTGGCAAGCGGCTTTTGTCAATGGGCGCTGTTCCTTTGGGGCAGTCGATCTGCCTCCGTTGTCGCACGGTTGCCACACTTTGTGAACTCTGGCAAAACCTGCGCATCGAGTTTAGGGCATTCTGAGCACAGCTGCTTTGCAGCGCCACCTGACTCAAGCTCAACCGCTTCGTGCTGCTCATACTGCTGCAGAGATTAGTGTTAATAATGATGATGATGGAGCTGGTGGCGTTGGTGGTAGCTGTGAGAGATGCAAGAGTTCAAGTACTTTTGATCTGCTATTTTTCGTTTTAGTTGGGGAAGGACGGATTACGCGATTTGTGCCTAACCTAAAATACGTTAAATTTCGACAGTTACTTTCAAAACAAATACTTAATTCTCTTGGAATAGACACACAAACAACAAATTACACATGAATCGGGGAAAAAAAATAAAAGTTTTTCAAGAACTGTGCTCTATGTAGCTAACTATAAAACTGTAAAGTTGACCCTCAAATAATTCTGATCGAAGTTTTTCAAAAGCAAGCCTACTTGTGGGGCAATCCCCGAGCTCTCTACGTAAGTACTGCAAACGACAATGAACTCTCACTGGCAGAGTACAACAGAGAGAATCTCCCGCCGAAGCGCGCCAAATGTTCGCAGTATGTGGCACTAATTGTACGAAATGCGCGTTTAAGATATATGATATATAATATAAAATATATAATATATAAATATGTATAAAGTTGAGGATATTTTCAGCCAAGACAAACCCCCTGATGAAGTCAACACTAACTGTTGGAATAAGTAAACAAAATGTATTCATTAGAGATGACGATGTCAAGTGTTAATTGTACCGGTTTTTGTCTAGCTAAGCTAAAAACCAGACTCAACAATTTGTTTACAACTTGAAAGATACATTGCAAGAGATTTCGCAATGGACTCGATGCGATTTCCATGAACTCTCAACAAGTTATTGAAGCTGAACGTGCTCCAAACACTTAGCAGCTTATTTCAATCAGTCTGCGTCTGTCTGGGTCAGTCGATGACAAATTCAAGATCTTTCGAGGGTTTTCTTGTGTGTGTAGCCCGATGAGCTCTGAGAGTTAATTGCAGCACCTCAGCCATAATGATCCTTGACTCTGCGACTTTCGCATTAGAGCGCCTTTGTTCAGTTAACATAAATCAATTGGGCTTCAGTTCGTTCTCTCGATTATAATGCATGAATTGCATAAACTTATGCAATTGACCTTAAAAACAGCTCTAAAAACATAGCTGAAAAATATATATATGTATATATATATAGTTATATATATACATATAGCTCAGTTAAAACATATATGAATCACTGACTCAGCTGAAGGTGAGAGCTTATGAACGCTCTGAATATGTTAATTGCTTAAATTAAAATTGTTTTTTTTTTTGAAAATGAACTCACAATTGGACTATACTAAATTTAATATTGAAAAAACTAATTCAATAATTTTTTAGAATTTTAATAGTATATTAAATATTATATAAAAAATATAATATTTATAAAAATATATAATAAATATTTATAAAAATATTAACTTATTTACGCATTTAAAAAAGTTTTTATCATTTCTAAATTCTGTTTTATTTAGTTAGTTTTATAGGGTTTTCCGTTATGCAAACTTTTTAATTGCAATTGAAAATGCATTCAACAAACTATCGAGAAGCCTAATTATAAAAGGTGCTCCATGGCAGTTATTTCTTTAAGAAAAGTGGACTTTTCTAGCAAGTTTCAAAATAGTATTCTCATGAAATATTTCTAAAAATTGAAATTCATTTCGATTATTCAGCAGCTATCGCTTAGTTACCCAAACTTTCATGTTTCTTTTTTTGTATTTCACAATGACAATTTGGGCTAAATACGAAAGGCTCATTTATTTGTGAAGAGAATCGCAATTATATGGGACAGTCATCAGAATTGAAGCGTGACTGTCGCTGGCAAACATATATACTTATCTATATATATATATATAAATATGATACATATGCCTGAAGCCTGGCGACAATTAAAGATGCTTTCAATGTACGTAAGCGAACGCATGGAAGTCAAACGTCAATGACAGTGTTTGCCATACAAATGTGACTCTCAATCTCAATCTGTTAACCAGTTTCAAAGCTGATACGTAGTATTCTACACACACATAGACACACGCAGACATTTGTGTATATGAATCATATGGCTGGATGATGTACCTGGCGATTGAGCAGTTGCTCATGATTGACAATCAATTCGCACATTTTCATCTGCTTTGCTTAAATGGGCGATAAACTATGTTGAGTATATTCCACACCGGCACGTGGTACATTTAATTATATTTCTATTTAACTATTTTGACCATATACATATGTGTATATTTTATACGTAACTCGGTCCGATTGCCGTCTAAATCGCAACGCGTTTAAATGCCAACTGCCAACTGGCAACTGGCTTTGGATCGGGCCTTTTATTGGCCGACGTCGCGACGTCGTCTCTCAATTAACACAAAAACAAGCTCACAAATTATTATTATTTTTGCTTTATTTATTTATTTATTTTGTTTTTTTTTTTTTTTTTTGGAGAGCGGAACTTTTAAGTTTGAGTTTGTTTTGAGTTGAGCAAAGTCGAGTTGAGTCGAGTCGAGTTGAGTTTAAAACAAACCAAAATAATTCTCTGTGTAAATACCCTGTACACAGCATAGGGTATATTCGCAGAGCAGTTGACTGTCTAACAAGCCATCTGCCTCAAGCTAAGCTCTTAGGTTAAATTCCACTCTAAGTTTTATTAAAACTAATAAAAAAATTAGCTTTGCTTAAGCTAGAGCAAAAGTCCACATAGAATGACATCAATTAAGTTTAAGCATATATATATTTCCAATATATATTTAAATCTAGTTTCATGCTTTACGAATTCGCTATGCATAGCTCGTAAACTGCCAGCTGCAGTGGGCAGTTCTAAAAGTTATGCAAAAGTTCAGTTAAAGCTGAACAAAACTAAATTTGATCAGGCTTAAGTCAGCTTGAGCTGATTTTGTATAATTTTTTGTTACTTAAGAGTTATTCGAGTACTATTTTAAAACGAGTACGAAATCATCTTGGCATTGTTTAATCAAATGTTCAAATAATATTATTATCTTTCATATTATTTTTGTTTTTACTTAATTCAAGCACAAATTGAACACAAAATTCTGGACTTTCCTTCTGGCATAGCAGGAAAGGGAATAAATTGCATTTGGTTGTTGTACCTGGCGGTTGGCTTTGGGCGTCGCGGCAAACATGCTGCACAACGGCTGTGCATCAACTGGTTTTCTGGGGCCAAAAACGCCAGAAACGTGTGCAAAACAAAAACTAATAAAGTAGAACTCAACCCTAGAACCGGCAATACGTAGCGATACGGCAAAAAGTGATGCCAAACCGGCTGGCCAAACGAGTACTTTGAGCCGGGTCTTTCAAGTAATGTGATACCCTAGTTCCAGCTAGCAAAAGGAAGCAACAAAGCGGAACCAACATGGAGAAAAGCCATGCGATACCATTCACAGAGTAGGCCAAAGAGAAAAGGCTTCCCTCGACTCAGATATTTGCATATGTAAAATACTCTAACCTCGACTGGTTATCTCTGCGATGGCTTAGTTTTTCGAGTTTCTGCTTCAACTAATTGTTCGGTGTGTGCCCAATTTCTTATCGACTTAAAATTTTCTTATGTTTTTCTCATTCCTCCACTTATCTACGTTTCTCTTTTGTTTGCTTTGGTTCAGTTCAGAAAGCGCGAATGGAATTTAATTTGATTTGCTTCTTTTTCTTCTTTTTTGCCACATGTAACCATTTGCGTTTTTACCATTTCCCGGCTGGACTAATATTCAATTAGTGCTAAATGGGCTAACAATTATTTTTGAAATGTCGATTATAACGAGCTGATTCCAAGTCAGTCCACCAAGACACAAATTGAGTGCCTATTGCCTATAGTGAACAGCAGTGCACGTGTAATATCTTAACAATTTAATGATGATGCCGTAATAGTAGCTGACAATTAGTTTGGAACACTTAATACGAGCCAGTCAAGCCAGAAATCTTTTTATAACATGCATGCGACTACAATGTATGCACCTGCATTCATATGCATACATCATATACGCCGTTCTAATTCCAATTTGGTTCTAATCGGCTTTTGTTCCTAAAGTTTTCTTTTGTTTTTCTTGTATTTTTTGTGCTCTACCCACTCACCGTTTCATGCATTTCGCCGCTTTCGTCGAGCAACGCTTCTAAGCTCTGATCGTCTTTGGTGGGCGAGAGCGGCGGTGTGGGCGAACGATTCTTGGCTGCCAGCATAGAGCGCGGCAGTAAATGGCGACCATAGTGCAGGTACAGGTAACGACCCCATTTGCGACCAACTACGCCGCAAACAGCAACAATTGCAAAGAGGGCCACAACAAACCACATGTTGTAAACAATAACAAAACTCGATGCTCTCTGTTTGCAGTTAAAGCTCACGTTGCTCAATATTTTTGGACGACAGTGTGCTTAAAAGCTTTGTTACACTCAGCCACATTGCATGCGCGACGCTCTGCTGTTTCGCGCTTTTGGTCTCGCTCTCTCACTCAGCTGGTTTGCTTTGGTCTTGTGACCCACGAGACTACAGCTTTATTTTTATCTTCTTTTTTATTTTCCTCGTGTACGTTGTGTTGTTTGTGCTTCTGTGTTGTTGCCACAGCTTTTATCACTCTCTATGCCTTTCAATTGTTTTTCCAATATTGTCTCACGTTAACAGCAAAATGTTAATGCTGTTTACATTTGCCACAGCACAACACATTAACTTTGTTCAACATTAGTGCCTATTTGGCTTATATTGCAAATATATGTATATATACATATATATAGGAATATAAACTTTTTGTTCGAACTAAGCGTTATTCGCCTACGGCTAACAAACTGTGTGCGTGTTTGAAAAACAAGTTGCTGACTGACGGAATGAGTGCCGACTGGCGTACATAATGAAACAAAATAAAAGAACGAACAGGCGCACACAGTGGCCCAAAAGAAGTTGAAAAAAGAGAATAACCCACAGCGCAATAGAATGAGCGCGACAAAACGCTGAGAGCGTATGTTAATGCTCTCTTAGATAATGCCTTCGCTGCTCTCTTAGCACAAGCTTGTGTTGTGAACGGGCGAACGGACTATTTGATTTAGAGTGTGGACGAGGAGGGTTGCTACCGTTCATTAATACTACAAACATTATGCTTCGTGTGTGTGTTAGCAACATGTTGCTAACAACACGTATACGCAATGTATATGTATTTTTATTATTGAATAGTGCAAATTTGTGGGTTTATTGCCTGGCAGTTGTCGCCCTTAAGGGGCTGCCAATTAGTTCCTCAACAATTGGGCCATCATGAGTTGCCGGCAATTTAATTTATTTTTTTTTACATTACGTTTTGCTACACAGCGCATCATGTGCTTTGGCCCAAAAAAAAAAAAAGAAAAAATGTTGAATACTTCAATTTTGTTGT